TTTTTTCCTTTTTATCCTTTTTAAACTTTTGTGTGCTGTTCGATGTGTAATATGTTCCACCGTGCCGTACAAAATTTTTGTGAGCTTGAGAAGTACCTGGCGTTTTCTATAAAAGAAAATGTTATACTTTATACATGACTATGTCATCCGCTTTTAATTAATAAGTGTTACCATCTGTTTAAGTTGAACATTTTCATATCTATTGTATAAATCAGTAACTATTCCATCTGGTTTGACAGCTTCCTTCCTATACGAGTACGAATACTCTGTAAGTAATCGCATTATTTCATTATACGTAATATACTCTGTTTATATATGATATATTTATAGATAAAACAAAAAATACATACGTGTATTCTTAGATAAAGATTGTGCTGACTGATTCATTATATCATTGTTGCATATTTTTGAATGAATATTTTGCGTATTCGTTACTACAGAATCAGAAGTAGAATTATTGTCGATAATTAAATTTACATCACATGGAGTTGCCGGAATATCCGGAAAAACGATCTAGAAAACATTTTATCTTACTCTAAAAAATATCTCTATCTTATTCCACTATTTATAATTGATTGCTAAGGGTACCATACATATTTTAAGGTAATTCGCAAGGTAATTTTAAAAAATAAATACCATTTTATTATTTATTGGACTCGTAACTTTAACTATAGATTCTGCTTCATTATTCCATTTGTTATTATTCTACAACATAAAATTATTTCTATGATACTAATTTAAGATTCATGTTATTTGTTTTCATAGAATTTTATTTCTATTTTATATTTATTTGCTTTGAGATATTGAAAACTTTCATGTTTGAATATAATTTTCTTTTTCAGTTTTAATGCATATAATACTGTGCACACACAAATATATAAAAAAATACATATAAAAACATCTTGCTTCATATTATTATTATTATATGTAAATAAAATCATGTTTTATAATTGGTATTATCTTTATTATATAATCAATTACCTACATACAAAATATTTTTTGAGGTTTAACTGTGTTGCATACGTGTGTGTGTGTGTGTGTGTGTGTGTGTGT